ATATTGTCAGTTTCTTTGCTTAACATTTGCCTAGTACTTATCTCTCTCTTCAACAAGACTGTTATAAGCCCCATGGGAACAGGGATAGTCTTACTGTTTTTACTGTTAATACATAATTTGTTGTCTGGTATGTAGAAGGAGGTCAGCAAATAATTGTTTTAAAACACTAAATTAGAAGGGCTGAGTATTTAGAATTTAAATCTGTAATTAAATTTATAGCAAAGTTACTCTCATTGAATGCTGGGCTAGATCACCAGACAGCTGTTTTCTTCTCAAGCCGAGCCAGGCCCACACAGAAGCAACCATGTCTAAGGGACTGGCAGTTGGCATTGATCTTGGCACCACCTACTCTTGCGTGGGTGTCTTCCAGCACGGGAAAGTGGAAATAATTGCCAATGATCAGGGAAACTGAACTACCCCAAGTTATGTCGCCTTCACTGACACCGAATGATTGATCGGTGATGCTGCAAAGAATCAAGTTGCGATGAACCCCACCAACACAGTTTTTGATGCCAAATGCCTGATTGGACGTAGATTTGATGATGCTGTTGTCCAGTCTGATATGAAGCATTGGCCTTTTATGGTGGTGAATGATGCTGGCAGGCCCAAGGTCCAAGTAGAATACAAGGGAGAAACAAAAAGTTTCTATCCAGAGGAGGTGTCCTCTATGGTTTTGATGAAGATGAAGGAAATTGCAGAGGCCTACCTTGGGAAGACTGTTAGCAATGCAGTTGTCGCAGTACCTGCATACTTCAGTGACTCTCAGCGTCAGGCTACCAAAGATGCTGGAACTATTGCTGGTCTCAATGTACTTTGAGTCATCAACGAGCCAACTGCTGCTGCTATTGCTCATGGCTTAGACAAGAAGGTTGGTGCTGAAAGGAATGTGCCGATCTTTGACATGGGAGGTGGCACTTCTGATGTGTCAATCCTTACTATTGAAGATGGGATCTTTGAGGTCAAATCCACAGCTGGAGACACCCACTTAGGTGGAGAAGACTTTGACAACAGAATGGTCAACCATTTTATTGCAGAGTTCAAGCACAAACATAAGAAGGACATCTGTGAAAACAAGAGGGCAGTTCGTCGCTCCGTACTGCTTGTGAATGTGCTAAGCGTGTACTTTCTTCCAGCACACAGGCCAGTATTGAGATTGATTCTCTATATGAAGGAATCGACTTCTATACCTCTATTACTCGTGCCTGGTTTGAAGAATTAAATGCTGATCTGTTCTGTGGCACCCTGGACCCTGTAGAGAAAGCCCTTCGGGATGCCAAGCTAGACAAATCTCAGATCCACGATAATGTCCTGGTGGGTGGTTCTACCCGTATCCCCAAGATTCAGAAACTTCTACAGGATTTCTTCAATGGGAAAGAACTGAATAAGAGCATCAACCCTGATGAGGCTGTTGCTTACAGTGCAGCTGTCCAGGCAGCCACCCTTTCTGGAGACAAATCTGAAAATGTTCAAGATTTGCTGCTCTTGGATGTCACTCCACTTTCTCTTGGCACTGAAACTGCTGGAGGAGTCATGACTGTTCTCATCAAGCATAATACTACCATTCCTACCAAACAGACACAAACCTTCACTGCCTACTCTGACAACCAGCCTGGTGTGCTTATTCAGGTGTATGAAGGTGAGTGTGTCATGACCAAGGATAACAACCTTCTTGGCAAGTTCGAACTCAGACATATCTCTTGCCCCTCGTGGCGTTCCTCAGATTGAAGTCACTTTTGATATTGATGCTAATGGTATCCTCAATGTCTCTGCTGTGGATAAGAGCACAAGAAAAGAGAACAAGATTACCATCACTAATGACAAGGGCCGCTTGAGCAAGGAAGACATTGAGCGCATGGTCCAGGAAGCAGAGAAGTACAAAGCTGAAGATGAGAAACAGCAGGACAAGCTGTCTTCCAAGAATTCACTTGAGTCTTATGCATTCAACGGTTGAAGCAACTGTTGAAGATGAAAAACTTCAGGGCAAGATGAAAGCAACTGTTGAAGATGAAAAACTTCAGGGCAAGATCAATGATGAGGACAATCAGAAGATTCTTGACAAGTGCAATGAAATCATCAATTGGCTTGATAAGAACCAGACTGCAGAGAAGGAAGAATTTGAACACTAGCAGAAAGAGCTGGAGAAAGTCTGCAATCCTATCATTACCAAACTGTACCAGAGTGCAGGGGGCATGCCAGGAGGAATGCCTGGAGACTTCCCTGGTGGTGGAGCTGCTCCCTCTGGTGGTGCCTCCTCTGGACCCACCATCGAAGAGGTTGATTAAGTCAACCTGAGAATAGGTCTAGCATTGTTCCACACAAAATATTCGAAGGACCCAAATTTGTAGCAAATTCCATGGCAGTTTTAATGTTGAGCTGCTATAGTAAATAAACTGGGCATTCTTGGGCGCCTGGGTGGCTCAGTCGTTAAGCGTCTGCCTTCAGCTCAGGTCATGGTCCCAGGGTCCTGGGATCGAGCCCCACATCAGGCTCCCTGCTCAGCGGGAAGCCTGCTTCTCCCTCTCGCTCTGCCCCTGCTTGTGTTCCCTCTCTGTGTCAAATAAATAAAATAAAATCTTAAAAAAAAATAAACTGGGCATTCTTGATACTTGAATATGGAATACGTGCACAGGGAAAGGAAATAAGCATTGCATTTATAAACACTGTATTGTTAAGTGGAAAATGCAATGTCTTAAATAAAACTGTATTTAATTGGCACCAAAAAAAAATTATAGCAAAGTTAATCTGCCAAAGATGATATAATCACTGTTGTGCTGTGTAGTAATTAGACATAAACATAAAGCATTTCTGTAATTTATTTTGATTTGTATTGCTTTTATATAACCAAAGCATGGTTTTAGTTTCAGTTTAGTTTTTTTCCTCCAATTGATACATTTCTCTTAACTTCATTTAGCATTTCAATCATTGTCGTAAAGGTCACACATTTATATAAACCTCACATAGGCACCTACTTATGCCCTAACAACTATGGCTCTTCCTTAGTGGCCACTCCACTCTCCCATCATCTTATTTTCCAAAAGGAATGGCTTTAGCATTACATCATTTTAGTAGCATATTAACAAGGTGCAAAACTGACATCTCACTCACTACAGGTGTAGATTTTTATGTAATCAGACGGGGAGGACCATCATCCCAGCCATCTCCTATTCTTTCCCTTGAGCAGCTACTCTCCATTTCCTGTCTCTGATGCTTGGTCTGTGTGAGAGATTTGGGAGCCACCTAAATAAAGTAGTTGAAACTTTGGGTCCCTTGGTTGTGTGGTTATGATGATAATGGGGAAAGAGTAGGAAACCCAAGCAATAGGCACAGAGAATGGTTCTAATTCCCTGACATCTACAAGTCTGGGAGTTGAAAAGATGAAGGAAAAAATGATAATGCCAGCCATAATTTCTCTTTTACCTCCTGTCCTTGACCCTAGAAAATGAAATATATAGTAATAGTAATTGTCTCATCAGGGATAGCTCTATCACTCACTGTGCCACATACAAAGAAATTTCTTACTTTCTTTGGAATCTTTCTCACCTAGTTATTATCTTACCTTCCTTTAACAAAAGGTAATCCTTTTATTCCACAATAAGAAATGAAAGGTTTCAAATGCAAACATAGGCAAGAAAGTAAATATATTGATGTGTGAGTTTTACTCAAAAGTATAAAGGATTGATAGTAGATCCTTATTTTCATTTGCAAAGAGCAATTAGAAAGCAAGAAAGCAAATACTGCCTAGCTTGATATTGTGGACAGAAGATGGCACTCAGAAGGGAGAAAAGGAGTGGAATGGATAATTGAGAGGCAAATAAGGAAAACTTTTTGTACTGTTTTGTAGTATTTGCATTTGTCAGCTGACAGATACGGTACTCAAAGATACTTTATGCCCTCTGTGGCTGTATATTCATTTACCTCACCAGAAATTTTTCATATTTATATTAATTAGGCAGTCTGCATAGTGTTCACAGTTTTAGCTTTTGAAAACACAGTACTGTACAACCAAATATTACTCTTAACACGTTTTTATGAATGTGATACTTAAAATTGATACTTTATTATTATTATTAAAGATTTTATTTATTTAAGAGAGAGAGAATGCACACAGAGCAGGGGCAGGGCAGAGGGAAAGGAGAAGCAGACTCCCTGCTGAGCAAGGAGCCTGATGTGGGGCTCAATCCCTGGACCCTGAGATCATGACCTGAGTCAAAGGCAGACGCTTAACCGATTGAGCCACCCAGGCATCTCAATACTTTAACATAATAGAAGTTTCTTGATGTTACATATTTTTAAAAAAGAGTAATGTTAGTAGATATGTAAGTCTTTTAAAATTATTTTAAAAATTAATGTATGTTTATAATCATGAAAAGAGTAATCTAACCTGATTTTTCTTTTTACCATGGAAAGCTTATTGGAAGACACAATGATGACAGGAGAGAGATTCCAAAGCATATGTGTTCATTGTACAGTTATTGAGGACTCTTTGATTTATCCATACAGAAGTGGAAAAATTAGAATCTTCTGTTTAACTTATAAAACATGAAGATAAAATTATATACAACTCTCTCACATATCTTCTCAAAAACCATTTCAGAAGATAAGAATGTGGGACAACATTATAAGGAATAATTGAACATAAGCCAGTTCTATTAATGGAGTACCATTTGAAAGTATACCTTTACTTTATTTCTCAAAATAATTTCTGAGACCAGTCATTTCTGTTACATACTATGTATGTACATACTACATAATCAGATTCTCTGCTTCATTTTAATTTAAATGTATTAGGAAAAACAGAGTGGGAAAATATGTTGAAAATAACACATGTAGTCTCTTTAGAAAGTGGCCATGGTGTTTGTGCAAAAGAAGTTTACATGATTTTTAGGTGGGAAAGCACGAACTGAAGAGTATGATTTATAACAAAAATATTGGTATGTTATTGCAGCAATGTATCATGTCATCCATTTCCTCAGAGAAAATCAATCACATTTAAAATACTGACCCCTTCTGGTTTTCTTTTCTCACTAGTTGACAAGTAAAATCCAATTTGTGAACCCATTGAAAAAGGAAGCTTAGATGATTCAGTTACATTTTGAAAATTTGTATAAATCATCCAGATAACTATCCTTAAAAGGTGGTACTCTGACAGCAAGAACTGTGTTTTAAAAGAAACATTAAAAAAAAAAAAAAACCCCAACAACTCCTCTGTCATGCTCTTGAGCTGAGATAAGGGATATCTAGTGATTATGGAGCATGAGTCTTCATCATTCATCATCATAGTGACCAAAATATTGATGTGTTCATGTTGGAAAAATAATATTTGGACATACAGTTCTATTAGAATGGAAGATTTCACCACTGTTTTGGCTATGTATATAATTTTTTTTTAAAGGTCAACTAATTCACTTAGCTTTGCATACTATCATTATATGCTTAGTCATATGTTTGGAATACAGAAAACAAAAGCAAACCACTATTAATACTACTACTCTTGCTGCTACTACTACTAATACTTTTCTTCCTCCTCTTTCTTCTTTTTTTCTTTAAGTTAAATGGCAGGAGTCAGAGGTTCTCAGATTAAAAATCTGTAATTTGGGCAAAGTTACACACTTCTTTTTAATGAGAGTGTGCAGATCCAAATATTCCACATTAAATGAAATTGTAAAAGGTTGAGGAGACATCCATAGTTTGTAGCTATTGTATTTTCAACATTAAAAGTATCTCAAGTATAGATTGAGAGTATGAAATAAAATCTTGAAAATGAGATTTTATCAGCATTTATGAATTTATCCAACATTTATTAAGTATTTTGCGTCAGAACTTTGCTAGGCACTGCAGGTACTAAAATATATACGAAATGCTTTTTGTTCTCAGGGCAATTGTCGTAACATGGGGCAAGAACGTGTGGTAACAGAATAGAATACAGAGGTAGCAAGAGTGGGGACACTAGGCTTTGGTCAGGTTAAGGATGGGTTGTGGGTTTACAAGTTATATTTTAACAAAATAAGCAACAGATAAATATTTAAGCTAAAGATATTTATTCTAATAATTTTTCCTAACATGGAAATAATGTAGTCTCATACAGCATTTGAAATATAAAAAGAAATATAAAGAAGAAAATAAGCCATCCATTGAAAGAAATTTATATTGACTTACTTCCTTTGATTGCATATAGTAATTACAATAATAGAAATCATAGTGATATATAATTTGATATCTTTTTCTATTTAATTTATTATGAACATGTTAATAAGTAGTATTTGAAAATACACTTTTGAAATGGCTACATCATATTAAATCACTCCATTCATTCACATGTATTCAGGTAGCTAGGAGTATCAAAGACTTTCTACTGATAGGATCTCATTAATGCAAGAAATAGGTACAAAAACCTCCTAGTGGAGATTAAAATATCAGCCTTTTCAATGATCCAGGCAAGAGTTTGATAATTCTTTGGGGAAGGAGTTAGCAGCTGGCCTGTGATCCATTTCTCTCTTGATTTCTAGGGAGGCAGTCCCATGGAAAGAAAGAAGGCGGGTGACCCAGTTAAACATGATGATAACTGACCTCCTTGGTAAATAGACTAATGAATTTTGTTGAGAGGAGAACTCTTACTTATGGCATGCTTTGAGCAGAATATCCCTGGTTAGGATTGCCATGGTAAACACAACCTAGAATCTAGATTTATGAGGCCCAGCTGCCTGGAGAGTGTCATACAAGTATTCAACTCCCTAAGATATATTGGAGATGCTCCCCATTGTGTGAGGTGACCTGTGAAATTTGCTTAGAGAACTCATCTATTATCTGAGCTAGAAAACATTCTGAGCTATAAGCAAGACTGAGATAGCCACATTGGATGTCCCTGCCTCTTTTATGCCACTTGATTGCTTGTATATTTGAAATTATTAGTAAAGCTTGATAATGGCTAAGATATCTGGCTCATGAGAATCTGATTTGACAATCCAGTCCTTTGTGTTAGCTCACCCCTAAACCCCACCCAGGGGCCTCTGATGAAACCTTATTCCAGTCCCACATCTAAATCTTGAAATTTAATCAGCTAATCCAGACAGCTCTAGACAGTAAGTAAGAGCCTTCCCCCTTTATATCCTGTGCATGGAAACATGATTAAAAAAGTGAAAGGGTAGGGCCTGTTGTGCCAGAGCTCAGGCAGTTCCAGGAGAATAGAGAGTTTGTGATGTTCCACGAATAGTGATTTTTCCATTTTGGTTCCACTCATTAGTAAAAATAATAACAATGGATGCTGTTCATTGACTACATTAGCTACTTCTCTCCTTGTTTGCAGAGGCTCAAGTAAATAGGTGGAGAGGGTCTTGAATTGTTTACTCCAGCAACATGCCTATCCCTGCCTTGTAGGTGGAGGAGGAAGAATCTCCTCCTTCTT